GCTGTCTTGGCTAATTCGATAGCAGTATTAAAAATTCGAACAAAACATAGATTTTTGGCGACTCAACAGTTATGTGCAGCAACCCCAAAATAACAAGCTAAATTTCAGAAAAGCGAAACCCTTCCCAGCAGGGAGCCTATTAGTGCAATCACTCCCGTCGAAATTGCTGGGGAAAAGAAATCCTAAAGCAAGCATATATATGCTTGCAGGCCGCTTAGAGCAAGATTTTGGTTGGACGTATATATGCTTGCTGGGCGCTTGGAAGAGGATTTTGGTTGGACGTATATATGCTTGCTGGCCGCTTAGAGCACAGTTTTGGTTGAACGTATATATACGGCTCGCCACTTGGAGGGTTAATCACTGTTGATATTTTTTACCTCAAAATTTAAGGGACCAAATGATGTCAGAAAAATATTTTCCAAATAACAATGTTGCGTCTAGCAGCTTAAAGTGTGGTCCATGCTTTTGTGCTGTTTTCTGCATATTCGTATTGATTGAAATACTAATTGAAAATAGGATTCATCAGACTACTTGGCATTTTTCTGTTTATTTATTGCTGACTCTTTGTCACCCTATGTGAATTGAACATTTTTTATCTTGTTTGTTATAGCCAGCTAAGCCTTTAGAAAAGGTCCTCAACTTCCATGCTATACAGCAAGTTTATGTTCAGAGTTCCAGAGAGTTAATGTTGGATTAAAATTAGCTATAATTTAGAAAAACTTGCCTTAAAATTCAGTTTGTCTGAAAATTTCAGTTTGAACATCTAGTAACTAATAGTAACCCTTGCCATTAATATTATATCTAATTTAATTAGTTTCTGTTATCTGCAAACAAGAATAATTCTTGTTTTCAAATGGTTCACAAGTGCATTCACAGATTAGTGCTTTGACCGCTCACCATCATACTGCCTTCGAAGTAAATTAGATCACATATTTTATCTCCTTCTTCACAAGCAGGGAACTTTAGCACTTTTTTTTTTTTTTTATCAGTTATCCAACAGTTCATTTTATATCATTCTTGCTATCTAACTGCAATACTGTGGCATTATAGCTTATTTGCATGCATTTGTATGGAGCTCATAATTAATTAGCTTTTCAGTGTATGTTTTAATAAAGATTACTAAATTTATATCGGAAATCATGGCATAGCTATTAAGTAATTATCAGCACATTCCATACTCATGTTCAGTACTTAAAAATTGATCATGTATTCATTTTCAGAATTACTGAATTTAAACTCATTCTATTCTGTACCTTTATTGATAGCCACGAATTGAACTCTCGCTGTTTAGAACTTCAAAATTATGCCCTTCAAAAAATAGGCAATGAGCATTTATAAAAAACATTATTATATTGAGTAGTGGATTCATAGCTGAATTTTTAATTCAAATATACATTCATGGATTTATTTAATTTTTTTTTTTTTTACTAAAATGCTTTTTATATACGTAATAATAAATTCAGAAAGGTGATAAAACATCTTTTTATAATTTGAATGACAAATATTGTGTTCATGGTTTGATTGGTGTGAAGTTATTTACATGAATCAAATATTTTCGGTTAAATTGCTTCTGATAACATTTACATGGTTCATAACTCTTGAGGTAATCCCTAATTGCAGAATTTTTTTAATACTCAAGAATGTTTTTCCTTTTCATATATACATACACACACACAATTTTTATTGTTATATACTTGAAAACTAGTTGTGCTATTGCTCCATTTCTGATAATGCAGTCAAAAATCTTTAATCTGGACTCGTCAGGACTTCGGCGAATCGGATTTTCAGATTATAGATCCAGATTATAGATCATCATTTTAAATCTGGTAAGATGGCATGCAGAAATTATAAAATTAAAAATATGAAACCGTAATTTATGAAATAAAGAGCAATTATGATCTAAAGGGTATCAAAATTTACAAAAAAAAAAGCTTAATATTTATTTGTTTACTTTATTAAACATTTCTTTCAACACGCGCATGCGTAAAGCATACATTACGAATAGTCGAAATTAGAAAATTGCAACCAGAAAACTATTTGATGTGTATTCGTGATATTTATAATGATGAGGAATTTGATTTAAATCATATCAAAGACGGAGTACATCGAGATGAAATACTACATTTAGTAAGGAATTATAAGCTGAATAAAATAAAAACATCTGCCCTGAAGATAAGGATAGTGCTGACAGATCAACTTCCAGTTCATTGCGTGCCGCGACGTCCCCCTTACCCCCCGCAGAGCAGCGCGAAATTGATAAACAGATTTCGGAATGGTTAGAGAAACAAAGGATATGCCTTTATCCACTTTCTGTTTGATGGACATCGAAACATACTTTCGTTTTGTAGATCCTTTACATATTAGTAAATATATATCGGAAATTCTATTTGACATAATCGAAAGTTCAAGCTTACTTTTATAAAATTGCTCTAACAGTCTGCAAAAAATAATAAGCCGGATCCAGTTCGAAGATTAAGGAACAACGCAATCTGCAACATTAACTGAAATAGATAATTAGATAATTTTAGCTTAGCTTATACCGTCCGTTATACATTAAACGTGCATGCATGAACTTATTATGCACATTTGATGGACATCGAAACATACTTTCGTTTTGTAGATCCTTTACATATTAGTAAATATATATCGGAAATTCTATTTGACATAATCGAAAGTTCAAGCTTACTTTTATAAAATTGCTCTAACAGTCTGCAAAAAATAATAAGCTGGATCCAATTCGAAGATTAAGGAACAACGCAATCTGCAACATTAACTGAAATAGATAATTAGATAATTTTAGCTTAGTTTATACCGTCCGTTATACGTTAAACGCGCATGCGTGAACTTATTATGCACATGCGTGAACACCTATGCGTTGCCACATGCGCAGAAAGTTTGTAGCTTTGAGGTCCGGATTAATGACTTTTGACTGTATATATAAAACATAAAAATAGGCTAAAAATTTGAATTAAAAATTTTTAAACTATCCTGCGCTATAGCTTCAGGGCTGAAGTAAAATAAACTCAAAGCATCTAAATTTATTATTAAATAGCGATAAAAGCAAGGCAATTCCTTATAATATAATAATTGCAACCATTTATAAGAGGTCTAACACATTATCAAAACAAATCCAATGAAAGAACAAACTCGAAAAATAAAAATGTGAAATGGAAAAATATACAAAATTATACAAATAAAAATTAATCTCCTTTTTATGTATATTTATATAATATATTTATATAACATTCTCAAAGGCAAACCTATGAAGAAATAAAATTCAAAAGCTCAATCATACCCAGAGAAATTAAAACCAAGTACTTAGGCATATATCTAGATGAAGAACTAAATTTCAAGTTTCATATCAACGAGACTAAAAATAAAGCCATCAAAGCTTTAATGTCACTTTATCCCATTATGAGCAGAAACTCCAAGCTAATTTAGAAACAAAAAGAATCTCCCATTGCATCAGACCCATCATACTCTATACAGTGCCTGCCTGGGCAATTACAGCTAAAAGGAATAGGCAAATTCTTCTGAGAATCCAAAACAAGGCCCTACGAATAATAACCAACTCGCCATGGTACATCAGAAATTCCACAATCCACAGAGATTTAAAAATTAAACCCCTTGACACAGAAATTCTCATCCATGCTCATAATTTTTTCACTAAAATAGATAACAGTCAATATAAAATGCTTAAAAAAATAGGAAAGTATGACTACACAATCTCACAGCCTTTTAAAAGGCCTAGAATGGTTCATCACAACAGTAATTGGTGAAAAAAAACGTAAAAAATTACAAGAGCTCGATAGCCGAGCAGTATTAGGCTAAGTTTTTTCTTGCATGAAGCATTGAAGGTTCGCTCCTTAGCTAAACATTAAATCTGCAAAGGACTTGTAAATATTAATAAATTCATCTATTTAATTGCATCTAATCAAGAGATTATTCTTACTATTATTAAAAGAAAATTGTGCATCATGTATAGAAAATTTAGTTTTGAAAAATCTTTTTACGCAACTGTGTATCACATTATCTGCAAAACTACAAATGTACCATATTTATAGGAAAATTCATTGCATCATATGTATATATTGCCAAAAATTGCTCCTGTATTTACCCAAGATGAGATTTGACTCCAGAAAATGTACAGAAAAATTGCTTATCAAGAAAATATATGCCTCCAAAATTTGCTTAAATAACTATTGCCAAAACTCACGATTGTGGCACCAATGCTGAATAGTCCCAAAAGACCAATAGATGGCGACACCTATGCCAAGCACTTCAGTGCTCTTCCTCCTGATTACTCAGGAGATTCTATTCTTCATATGTTCAACCCTACCTGGGAGCAAAAATAGCTAGGTAAAGGTCTGTGAAACGGTCGAATACCTCATACCAACGTGATGGTCTGCGGTCTATACCCTCCCTTTTTCTCTGCCTACGCTAGCTAGCTTAAGGATGTCTCTTGCTTAGCTGCTTCTATTAAAAATGTAATGCGTCGTCATCAAAATTGTGGGGTGCAGATTGGCCCCATTGTGCTGTGCCATTTAATAGAGTAATCAACAAGTAATAAAGATATATTTAGATTATGTGATTTTTGTGATTCTTCAAATGTTCTCTGCATCTTCTACTTCAAACCAAAACTTTTCTCTTTGTGTGCTTCTATCTTGCATAACTATGCTCTTCAGCTTTGCTCTCTGCTCTGCTAGGGTATAATTTTGCTGTCTTGCTTGCTAACACAATAATATCAAAAATGTAAATGTTCTTTGAATAGGCGCCCAAGTGAACTCTGGCCACAAACGTCAACTGGAAAATAAAAATGGAATTAAAACCACCTCGACTGCCAAGTTTTTTAGATATCAACCAAGTCAACATTATTAGCATACTACTCAATCAGAATTCTTCCTCTTCAATATGGATCCACGCACGTATCAACACTGCTCCGTCTTTTCCTTTGCATTTTTATTTCATATACATATATATCATGTTCTCTTCTATTTTAGGGGCTCATATATGTATTGCTACACCAGGAAGGCTTCTTGATTTTATGTCTGAAGATAGAGTAAATCTGCAGCGATGTACGTATCTAGTATTGGATGAAGCTGATCGAATGCTGGATATGGGATTTGAGCCACAGATAAGAAAAATTGTTGATCAAATTAGAGTAAGCTTATAGGATTTTTCATCTAATGTATTATAAATTAAATGTGTTATGTGAAACCAAGTATCAAACGTGATAAGGAATTACCAGTAATTAAGATTTGGGTTTTGTTGTAAAGGGAATTAAGAAAATACTTGTTTATTCAAATTACTAGTTGGGAGAGCTTATAAAATTAATAATTTAAGCAAATTAGAGTATGTAAAGGACAGACCAGTAACTGAATAGACAAAATATTAAACAATGATATATTCTCTTGACAATTGAATATTGGTTGCATAAAGTTTTTTCAACAAGTTTTCGTTGAGTGCAGTTTTAAGTATTGCTCATTTCCTTTAAAAGTCTGCCATATAGGCATTCCTTTCCCTGAAAATTCTTTTTTAATGGGAATGATCCTCAGATAATCCTGCTTAGATGTGTAAATAGCAGGAAGTACCAGTGATGGAGAAAATTTGCATCTAGTAAGAATTTAAGTTTACAGATAATGTCTTTCATTTCTGTGAAAATGTAAGTTGTAGTTTCTCGCCTTTTTCCGTTTGCTGTGTTTTCAGTGTTCCCCCTCCCAGTGCCTTTTTTGGGGAAAACTACTGTTGCTATCAAAATTTCAAAATGTAGTTTTAATGACCTTTTTGATTTTTGAAATTTAAATCAAAATTGAAGAGAATACATATTAAATATTTAAAGCTGCTTATGAAACAAAGTAACAAAGGTAAAATTACACAGATTAAAAATATAATAATAAAAAAAAAGATATTATTGAAACAATGTTTGGTGTTAAGTGTAGCTGTCTGCATTTGGCTACATTTTTGTGAGCAGTATATTAAAACACATCATTCAATTATTTATATTCTATACCTATTTTTAATCTAATTATTTGTGGCTACACAAAATCCATATTTAATTAAATTAGGTTTAAGAAATACAAAACTTTTACATACCAACTGCTCATTGCATTCTGTCTTAGTGTGCTCACTGATTACAGTACTTCCTGATCAATGTAAACACTGAAAAAGATTTGAAGCCATAAAGCTGACATTTGCAATTAAATGCTTTCCTTAATCAAAGAAGTCGATCAACATTTTGTTTTTGGATACTACTACTCAGAATGCTTTCTTGAAAAGGAACCACATAATTTACATTTTGTTTTTGTAAGGAAAAAGACTGGTAAGCCCTGGAGGTATGTCGTACCCCAAATCTTATATAATAGTCACTTGCACGTCACCTTCCAATTTTTATATAGAACTTTTTGAGGAACAGAACTTTAGAGTAAAATTAGATACTGCAATGGCTAATCATTTCACTTAAGAGTGTGTGCCACAAGGATGTAGCTTGAGTGTTATACATTTTAGCCTCAAAATTAATTCCATTTTAAATAAACTCCACTCAACAGTAAGTGGAGCATTGTGTAATAATAATCTCCAGATAAGCTGACAAGGTGCTGATATGCATTGTATAGAAAGACAATTGTAAATTGCCGTGAACAGAATCATTGACTGGGCAAATGAAGAAGAATTTAGGTTTTCTAACCAGAAGACCATTTGTTGTCCATTTTTAGCATAAAAGAAAACTACATCCTGATTACTGCCTGGAGAGATGCTTGATTCTGGTGTTACCAGAAGTAAAATTTCTTGGTCTCATGTTCTATAAAACTTTCCTGCCTCACATTGCATATTTGAAGAAAAAATTTTTGAAACTTCTGAACTTTCTAAACGTTTCTTGGAGTACAGGTTACATTTTAGACATATTGCCCTTTGTTAAAGATATGGCTTGTAGTTTAATCTCTTAATTAAAATCACAATTGTAATTCTGTTTAGCACTTTAATTTAACAAGATGAATTTTCATATGAAAATAACACTCAAATGTTTTGCACAGTTTCAAATGATTGGTATTAATGTAACATAGATCTAATGAAGCACAATAAACAAACACAAATAACAGGTTTTATAAACCATACATTAGCTTGTCTCCATCTTTCAAGCTGTATGACTTGCATAGCTGTACATCCAGCGTACCGACTAGCGAGCCACTTGGGGGAAGTAGAAGTACCATCTGATCATGAGAAGGGAAAGAAAAGCAGATTATAGAAGTTCTACCATCTGTTGGCTGGCAAATAAATTTAATGATTGTATTGATGTCTGATATTAGTTTAGTCATGCAAGCACTCAAAGTCTATAATTTTTTCATTTAACTGGCATCATAAATCTATTCATTCTAGTTCATTTCCATTCGAGAGCAGTCATGCATACAAACACAATCCATATGTTTCTAATATTCTTTATATTTTAAATTGTCATTCCCTAAGATGCCATGATTTACGTGCGTAAATCAGAAACTCTGATTCTCTCTGACTCGGTATGTAACTTCGTGGTTTAAATACCGTTCCTCCTTATTAAATATTCAGCAAGATTCCAAAACTACGTTCTGGCTGGAAGTAGTAAGTTGAAGTTAAGAATGTGACAGGAAACGAACTTTAACTTAAAATTTAACTGTTGATAAAATTAACATAATCCTTACAGCTTTTAATGTGTAATTATCTTAATATCATTTAAAAATCAATGCCATAAATTACATGTATTTTAAACTGTGAAATTTTATTAGTTTGTGATTTTAATAAGGTTTTTTTTAACAAATATTGTTAAAAAATAAAATTTAATAGTGCCCATGTAAATCTATAATGATTAAGGTTATCTAATACCTAATTTAATTACTTATAACTAACTGTTTACCTTTAAAAATTATCTCTGCATATTAAAGCAAGTTATTGCCTTTCATTAACCCTTACCGTGGTCACAAGATAAAACACAAAAATGTAAAAATTCATGTAAAGCGTATTCTTCGCATCTTAGTGAGACTTAAAATAATACAAAAAACTTATCACCTCTGGTGCTTTAGTTGGTTATTAGAACCTTTAAAGTATATTATCTGAGTTACAACCCAGAAATTCTACACAAAGCTACGACGCTAACTGCGTCAGACAGTGCCCAGCTGACTTTCAAAACTTGCAAACCCTGCTTACATCAGGCTCATCAGGTTTGCTCTGATCAGCAGGTCTCTCTCTAGGCAAGCAGGAGCAGTGACAACAGCCAGTCTTTTGTTTTGAATCAATCTGATTATGATTTTACTTCTCATTTTAACCTATGCCACTTTACATAAAATCTACTTACTATTTACCAAAACTCTAGATCAGTGATTCTCAACCTTTTTTTTTTTTTTTTTTCGCAGCACACTTTTAACGATTTCAAAATTTGGCAACACACAAAGAAAAAGATAAGTGTAAAAGTTGTTTACTTACCTAATAATAATACACTGTGTAAAATAGTTTGATATTAATTTTGAATGTAAAATAAAATAATATGTACTACAAAAACAGCAGTATGTTTATTAAGGGATTAATTACAAGTTAATAATAAAAATACTTTCAATGAGAAATTTGAGCTTGATGTTTTTGATAATTTATTTATATTTATTTGGTCGTAAAAATGACAAGGCTACTCTCATATTGTGTTCTACATTTAACAGTCTTGCTCTTTTTTTCATTTTTATGTTGGTTAATACTAAAAATCCTAATTCACTCAAATAAGATGTATAAAACTGTAATAATACATTTAAAGCATTTTTGGCCATCATGGGATAATCACATCTAAGGTTTATACAAAATGAATTAATTGATTCTTCCGAATATTTTTAAATTAAATCTCGATTATTAGAAAGCAAAATAAGTTCTTCCTATTCGTTCAAAGTTAATGCAAGCACAGAAGTATTCGACACCAAATAACAAAACTGAATACCAAAATTGGCACGCTTCTTTATGTCTTAAAAACTGAATTTCGCCAATTCTCATGTGTACCATATACTAGGATTAAACCCATTATAATTTTTACTATATACATTTCTAAAATTTGGCGGCATACAAAAGTGCCACAACACAGTGGTTGAGAATCACTGCTCTAGACTGATCAAAAAATGAAAAAAAAAAAAATGACACATTAAAAAAATTAACATAAAGCTAAGTGTTAGTAAAACCTAAATAAAATGTTACGTATCTTCTTTCAAATATGTCCAACTATTACAAGTGTAAAATATTTAATCAGGGTTCGTAGCGGTCCTTATAAGTGCTTATAAGTCCTTATATTTTAAAATAAAATATAAAGGCCCTTATAGGTGCTTAATTTTTCTTTAAAGCCCTTATTTTTTTGCTTTTAGTGCTTTTTTTTTTTTTTTTTTAATGAACGCCCTATTTTTCCCCGTACCAAAGCCGAAACTAAATAAACAACTTTTCTTCCTAATATGGAATGTCAGATGGTGAGTCATACTCCCGGAAATAGCTTTTCCCCCTTTCTCTGCATTAACATAACCTTTGATGTGCACGAAGAGTACAGACAGGTGCCCGTCGTTCTATTGGTCAAAGAATTGCGAAAGCAGTAGAAAATTCGGCTACATTCGGCATTCTTTTCCTCCCACCCAAATACTACATAGTGTTGCGTGCGTACGGGTTCGTTACGAAATGAATGCACAAGTCCGATAAAAAAAATGAAGAAAATTTTATTATTATCACAACAAATATGCTTAAATTTCCTCAAATTATTGTGCAGTATTACAATATCTCACAGTAGTTATCTTTTAACTACTCAAATGTTCAATAGAACTTAATTCCAAAACAGCTAAAGAAAGCTAATCTGCGAATTCGCTACAATCAATGAAAGCAGTTTTCTAAACAACAACAAACTAAGCAACTACTACAAACTGAGAGGTTTTTCCTCCTTTTATAAGATTTTTAACATCGCGTGCAAGAATTGTCTGTTACTTTTTCGAAATCAAAAAGACATATTTATTTATTTAATGTTAAATGCATGTGCTCTTGTATTTTTAATTTCCCGGCTTAGCTTTCTTCTTTTAATATTCGTCATGCGCTGCACTGGGCGGGAAATAAAACCATTTAATTTATAATTGAACTAACATTAGCTTTTAAATACCAAATTCGTAACACTGCCCCTTCCCAAGGACT